GTGAAGGTTGTTTGAACATATGACCTTATAAAAAGTGAAAGCTGTTTGAAGAAGATCAGAGAAGTTGACGTAAAGCAGATATAAAAATCAAAAGGAACTGCTAAAAACCGGATAAAAACGCTGCAGTGAGGTCTGAAAACTATTATTTGGCTGCTTTTCAAAGTGCAAATTTTCGCTCCAGAACCAGCAACGCAACACGGGGGAAAGCGAAGAAAAGCTAATTTTTTGCGATCGTTTTAAAAAACATGTTTCGGAAGGAGCGGTCATCAAGAAGGAGATAAACAAGAAAGAGTTAGTTATGGAAACGCAAAGATTCTCTTTTACTAAGTCGAAAAGAACGTCGAAGCCAAATTTAATTTTTTGATGCGTCCTTTAAATTTTTACCCCCGCATTGACGTTCCCGTTTTCCCTGGACCTTGTCTAGATTGTTGCGCTTATTGTTCTGAGCAACAATGGCCCAAGCTGGGAAAAAATCGTTGCGGAAGCCCTGAAACAGAACAAGTCAAAGAAAAACGCACTTTTTACGGTTTTTCGCAAAAAAAAAAATTCTCGTTTGCGTTGTGAACAGAAGCGATACCTATAGAATCCATGAAAAAACCGTGTGAAAAGAGGTAAACTAGGAGAAAAACAAGAGATTTTCGAAAACAATATTTTTGCCGGATTTCTCGACCAAATCAAAAAATGTGGTTTTAGGACATTGTCAGCGTAAAAGTGGAGATCAAGAGCATTGATATGATATACAGTTTGCTAGAATTAAATTGAAAACAACGAAGAAGAGGGTACCACAGCCAAATGCCGCGTGCCCCGCATATGAGCTAGCGAGGTAACGCACAGCGCGCGGAGACACAGACGAGCAACGGAGACAGACCAGAGCCGACGGGGCATTTGGCTCTGGTCGTAGATCTTGGCGGGATCTCAACAAAACCCTGCAATGCTGTATATCGTTGTGATTTTCATGACACGACCAGGAGCAATGACAAAGTCGAATCACTTCATAACGAGATAAACCAGCATTTGCGTGGCGACTCTCTGCTCAAGATTTAAGCGCAATTTCTCGTTTTATTAAACTTCAACAGCTTTTTTGATCTTCCAACTCAACCGTAGTCTAACAAGCTCAGTTGAGAATTGTCCTCCTAAATTCTGGGATGATTTGAATAAAATCCTTTTCTGCAGAAAATGCTGCAAAAACGCAATCTTTTTGTTTTCTGATTTTTTTTTCAAATATCATTCACCATACTTGCCTCATTCAGATTCACTCCTATAAATATGTCGCAATATCTGGGGCTTCCCCTCCCCCCCCCCCCTCCCGGATGACTTCCTTTTTGTATTCTATCATGACGCTTAATTATTTATTTACTTATTTTGTACGCTCGTAGGCGTGCTGTATGTTGAACAGGGAAAAGGTAATTACAAGACAAACATCAATCACAGAGAATACAAAGTTTAAATATAGTTTATGTACACATAAATAGATATGCTAGAAAGGGACTTCAGAAGACATATTTCCGAGTAGAGATCCCGTTAAGAATTTCTGCAGTAACAATCCATCCTAGTCCGCCAACGGAAATGACCATAACAAGGCAGCGCGAGCACCCCGAGGGCCCGACAAACGGTTGCACCGGCAGCCCCCGCCAGCACAACCAAACGGGTGCACTGGCAGGGGGCCGCCAGTACACCCGCTCGTCAAACCCCCAGCGTGCACGCACCACCCAGCCATGACTCCCGCCGGTGAAGAAGAGAATTGATGAGTCGGGTAGGGAAATTCAACAGAATTAATCGTTACTCGGATATGCCTTCTAGAGCCCGCTAGTTCAACTGGAATGAAAAGCACATGAGTGAATTTGAATTAAAGAGGTAACATGGAAAGACAAATCAACTGTTACACTTAATCAATCTTTGAAACAAAGGAGAAAGCAAACATGGGTAGGAGTGATGCACAAGCAGCCAAAGAAAAAAAGAAAATCTGAGTTACTATTCAACATCTGGAATTTGTAGTAAATCAAGAACATCAACTCTGGATATAGCTTTTTTGAACTCGAACGAATTTTTGAGAGCTAATAAAGGGGGTGGTAGACATTCGAGCCATTTGGCAGTCCTTGAGATAAAAGTATTCAGTTGGCGAGTACGATTCGAAGTAGGTAGCTTGGAAAATCGAAAAGCGATAGAACCATGACGACCATAGACAGGGCGAAAAGTCCAAAATTTGGAAGGCTTCAAACGCAGTTCTCCTTTAAGTATCTTGAATGCTAAAATTAAATCATTTTGAATTCTTCTATAATACAGACTTTTGAGATTTAGTTTTTCCAGACGGTTTTTGTACGAAGGTAAAGTTTGAGGATAATGAGAATCTGGAAAAGCACGGTAGTATAAAACTCTAGTGAATACCCTCTGGACGTTTTCAATTTTATTGATTTCCTTTTTGCGAAAAGGGTTCCAGACGGGGCTACAGTATTCAACTAGTGGAAGTATAAACATTTTGTATAGTTTGACCCAAAGAGATACATCAGAGCTGTAAACATTTCTAAAAAGACAGTACAATGACCTTAGACTTTTCTCAACTAGAGTTTCAACATGATTTTCGAATCTAAGTCCATTGGTGATTAGAACTCCGAGGTCACGCACTCTATTGACAACAGTCATAGATCGTAGTTCATCGTCATAGATACTCAAAGAATTAGGTCCTATTGGGAACAGGTAGCTTTTTCTAAAATTCACTTTGAGGTGCCAAAGCTTGGTCCATTCAAACATTTTTTCAACAGACTTATTTAGAGCTGTTTGGACCTCTTCTTTCTCATTTTCATCATAGATTGCTGTTACTTTAATGTCGTCAGCATAAGCATGCACAAAAATTCTCGTATCCGTTTTCAAGAAGACAGGTAAATCATACGTATAAATGAGAAAAAGAATAGGAGAGAGTACACCCCCTTGAGGCACACCTGAAGGGCATTCTCTGGGAAAGGAGAAGTCCTGAGAAAAGCGTACTACTATCCTTCTATCCTGCAGATAAGATCGGAACCAGTCAAGCAAATTACCTTCTATGCCTATGCTATGCAGTCTTGCTAGTAGATTTTTATGGCAGACGCTATCAAAAGCTTTACTGAGGTCGAAGTATACCACATCTACTGCTTTACTTTGGCTTAGTGCATCATTCCAAAGATGCGTGCAATCTATTAGCTGAGAACAGGTTGATGAACCTGATAGAAAGCCAAACTGCTCATCAGGGATGATCTTAATATTTTCAATCCAATCAAGTAGATATTTTTTCATAATTTTTTCTAGAACTTTCAAGGGTGTTGGAAGAATGCTGATAGGACGATGATTTGAGATTTGGTCACTATCTTTTCCTTTTGGAATGGGAGTTATTACTGCAGCTTTCCAAGCAAGAGGAATTTGACCTGTCATCAGAGAGATGTTGAAAATGTGTGTAAGAGGCGATGAAAGATGTTTTGCAAAGAGTTTATAGAACATCTGTGGTATTCCTTCAGACGTAACGGACTGTGATGGTTTCAGTTTTTTGAGAGATTTGTAGACCATATCACATGTGATTATTGGTAGTTTAAGTTTCTGTTTAGTAATTTTTGGCAAGTTTACAATTGATTCGTCACAATAATTAGTGAACGTGCTCTGGAAGAAATCTGCGAAGGCTTCTGCTTTCTCAAAACCTGTGCTATATTTTGATCCATCATCCGTAACAAGCACTGGTAGAGCAGGTGAACTTTTAGTTCTGCATTTGATAAAAGATATTATTTCCTTCATATGTTTACTGCTCGCCAACTTATTGATCTTGTAAGACATATATTTCTTCAGATGGTGATCAAGTTTTTGGGTGATATCTGCGTATCGTGGATTGTGCATAGGATCAGGAGTGTTCTTGAAAAGTCGTTGTCGCTGTTCAAAAAGGTTGCGGATATGAGTCGGATATTTGAAAAAACTAAGCTGTTCGGCGTTTTTGAGGGGAACATACTGCTTGATAATATCATGCATAATGTAAAGAAAGCGACTATAAACGTCATCAATATCGTTAAAGTTTCCGAAAATCTCAAACCAGTTCAAAGAGGACAACAAACATTTTATTTCATCGACTTTGGCATGCTTAAAGTCGAAAGAGTGAATGGTTTGGGTGTCTTGGTTAGGTACTGCAATGGAGAAACCCACAATGTTATGGTCAGAAGTACTAAGCGGGGGAGAAGCAAAAAAATCTTTGACAATTTCAGCATTCGATAATACTAGATCTAGTATATGTTCACCTCTAGTGGGGAAATTGACCCATTGAGTCATGGATAAAGCATCAAATGTTGTAAGGTATTTCTCCCCAATGTAATTAGATCCGGTTCTATGAATCCAGTCAATAGGGAGGTTCAAATCTCCGACTATTACAGTCTTGATTTTTTGAGAGGAAACAAGGTCAGAAATCAAAGTCAGAATAAGCTCGTCCTGCTTACCACCGACCCGTGGTGGTCGATAGATCAAAATGAATCTGATTCTATCAGCATAGGTCTGTAAGATAACATCAAAACAAAGAACGTCCACTTCGAGTCCCTTCATTTTGAAAGTAACTTCCTCAAAAAGAATGCTGCTATGGATGAGCGCACAGACTCCTCCACCTTTTTTACTTTTGCGGTCTTTTCTAAGCAAAATATAAGGAAGATTACCGCTGATTTCACTATTAGATATATGCGAATTCAACCAAGTTTCGGTAATCATCAAAAGAGCAGGTTTGAAAGTAGACAACAAATGTTGAAGATGTGTGATTTTGTTTTTAAGGCTGCGTGCATTCAAAAGAAAACAGTTTTTTGGAAACATTAATAAGCTTTTCAGTTTTTTGACAGGAAGTTTTTTGATGCGCCGTTTTTCTGTGGAATATCGGCAGCTTTGACAATCTCTCCTTTATATACAACAAAAATTCGTTTACCTTCTTTTTGATTCATTTCACGTGCGGTTGAGCGCAGATCTCTATCACGCGCTCTTTCTTCTGCAGTCATCGATTTTCGGATATATACATTTTTATATGGCGTAATATTTCTGAGGCGACGAGATTTTGAAAGCATTTCTGTGCATAAATACTTGCTGGAAAAAACACATTTGACTAATCTTGGTTTACCTTCCTTCGCCCTCCCCATTCTGAAAACTTCTGCTGGCCGCGCTTCAACATCCAAATCATTGAGCATACCGAGTATGAATTTCTCAGTATGTTCCTGTCTCGACACTGCGGGCAAAGCGGAGTCAGCTTCAGGCACGCCGAAGATGACTACAGATCGTTCACGCTTTTCTTTCTCAACCAGCGTCGAGGACAAACTCGGTAACTTACTGACCAGTTCTTCAAGCAATGGAATTGCTTCGGGGGCTTTCTTGCTGATGATTGTATGAATGCGATCGAGTAGTTGAATAGCGTCTTCGTCCATAAGTGGACTGGCTTTGGACGCAAGTGGGGAAGTCGGTTTCTTCTTTTTAGGAAGTTGTGGCAGTGAGGTTGACATAGAGGGAAAATGAAGGCAACCACTCGGAATGACCACAGACAGAATGAATTAAAATAAACGTTATTAGAGTAAATGGTTATACATCGAAGTTATGGGAGGGGGAGGGGGAATGACCGCTTCAACTTCGAAAAAGCTCACAGGTTTTATGTTGGAAGCCCATGCTAACAACGTATTCGATCCGTTCTTTTGACCCTCAAGGGGTACATAAGGCGAGGGTATATAAAGTGATGCGGCATTAGTCACTTCAGTCGCTGCCTCAGACCGGGCAATTGCTTTATAAAGGCCAAACAACGGCCTAGTAGTCGAGAACATTGTAGTAAATCACCGTCTGTCTGCCTTCGCAGTGACAAGACAATCTGGAATGATATCCACGAAAGTCCATTTAAAAATGGGCTTTTCGCGAATGAAACGCGAATGAAATGGGCTTAGTCCCTGCGGTGCGATAAGATATCGCGTTCGCGAATCCATTCATTCCATACAAAAATGCTTCAGCAAACCTTTCTTCAACTTGCCTCAACCTGTTTACTCACTCTTGCAAACTCATTCCCACCAAGTGGTCGATATCCAACGATCTAACTTTACTATATCAGTCACGTAAATGCTCTGTTCTTTTCCATTTCATTACACCTCATAGAATGCCATTTATTAACTATGACTATGCATCTAAATTAGTTTCAGTTCATCTAAAATCCAAGTAATATCAGGGTATTCGCTCTTCAAAACTTCTATGAATTTGCATTGAATCAAATTCGTATGTGGAGCTTCCAGAAGAAAGCAAACTTTGGCTAGACTTGCATTGCAATTTGTGAATCAAAATGCTTATCTCACAGAAAACCTTGTACTACACTACAACACAAAGGCTTTTAAGTTGGAAAAACTTTGGATGTGCAAAAAAATTGATGGCTTCTCATGCTGTACTTTAGCAACCCCAAAACTTTCATGCAAATATGGCGTTTAATATATGATACTGTTTTTCTTGCATCAACTGTGTGAGTTTGAGGGGTGGATACTAGAATGATGACAAAGTCGCTGAATTCAATTAGAACGAATTCGTTTAGAACTTATCTAGGCATATACTCTGATCCCAAGTCATATATGCTTTTGATGATCAAAGTTGCTTAGGGGAAGTGCTACGAACAACTGAAGCAAAGTGGACTTATATCCGTCTCAGCATATAGGGAATGCTTGAACCAATGCCTTTTGCTATTGGCAACCTTATTATAGATTTTGAACAGAATTCAAATTAACTGGTTGTAGGAAAAGCTCTCGCATAATCCAGTATCAATCAGGTAACCTTCTTTCTCAACCTTAATGTGATGCTCTGTAATCGAAAATAAAACAGAGTTTCGACTTTCTGGGTATTGAAAAGTGTTTTCGGTGACAAAATGACGTATAGAGAAGACTTTCTCTATAAAATGACTTGTTTAATTTTGGTAAATCGCGATTTTTTTATATTTCCATACGAGAGCAAGAAGTGACTAATGTATAGACTATAGCTAGTAAGAAATTTTTCACGGAATATTCTGACTTGCTAGCGGTGCTTCAGTACTTCTTGCTACCAAACTCAAAATCGCGAATTTGGAATTGCCGTCTTTGTCTGTCTGTCTGTCTCTGTCTGTCTGTCTGTCTGTCTGTCTGTCTGTCAGTCTGTCTGTCTGTCTGTCAGTCTGTCTGTCTGTCTCAACTGTCTACGAAAAATTTTTTTCTATGATTTTCAAAGCATTTCAAGGCTGTTTGGAAAAGATAGATTTTGGCCCTCCTAAAGAAAATAAAACTTTCTCCGTTCGCTTACTATCTTAAAATGGGCTAGGGAACATATTTTCAAAAAATCGCAATCAAAAATATGCAAGAATGTCAAAAATGGGCTTAGTCTCAGCACATCTGGCTGCTGGGAGTAAAATGGGCTTATCAGAAAGGTGAGAGAGAATGAACATGGAGATGAACTCCATTTTGCCCCATTCTAAAATGGACTTTTGACGTCATCTTCCGCGAGCGATAGCTCAAGTAAGCTTGAATCATTTTCATTTCACCGCTTTGTCTCGCGGTTGCGATGGGATGAAAAATTTTGGATATCGTAAGCGGGAGCCGATTTCGACCACTTTCTAACGCGAACGAATAAAATGGACCAAGTAAGTTCATTTTCCTCCATTATGGACTTTCGTGGATATGAGTCCTGGAGTGGTAGTAATTTGGTCGAAATTATCATGTTAACTGTGTTTTCATGACACCAGCTAACCAGCAGCTTCACATCATTTTCCCAACGAAACCAGGAGTTAACCAATAGGAAACCTCAAAATGCTATCTTGCAAAGCAAAGTTATGGGAGGAGATCGAAACTCCAACCATTCTCATGCTTGTCGGCAATCATTGCACTTTACCAAATTTGCAGTTCGATCTCCAGCCTTGCACTTTCCTGTAACCTTATCTAAGCTGTAAACAAGTAAGCTTTTTCATAGTCAGTTGCAGAATGATCTCCCTCACTCTCCTTAACTTGCAAAGCCAACACATCATTGTTTTAAACGAAAAAGCGGTCGGGGGTACTTTTTCATTTTGAACTATGATATGGTGGTTTCAGGTCTGCGTCTCATGAAATGAAATGCTGTTTTCATTACTCTACCTGATAAGGAAACGGTGTTAACCTGCTGATCAATTCATAGTTTGGTTTAGAATGAAACAAGCATGAAACAAGTACGGTTTTCCGAAAGTAACTTGCATGTTTTATAATTTTGTATGACCGATTGAAGTGAACGGCCGTAAGAAGATGATCATGCTTACCACGATGTAATCATGATTAAACTATCACATCATTCGTTGGTTTCGACTATATCACTACCACTCCTCGAATGATATCCACGAAAGCGCATTTGGAAGTGGGCTTTTCGCGAATGAACGCGAATAAGATGGGCTTAGGCCATGCGGTGCGATATGATATCGCACGCGCGAAATTGTTCATTCCATACAACAATGCTCTGGTGAACCCTTTGTAACTTGTCTCGACCTGTTAACTTATCATTGTTAACTCATTCCCACTATACTAGTCGATGTCTAGCCAAACTAGACCTAACATAACGTTGTGATTCTTGTGAAAATTATAGGGTGTTGCAAAAGTACACGCACTGTTTGTTTGCTGATATCTCTCTTCCGAAAAAGCCTTTTGCTTGATTTCAGGTATTATTTTGGGTACTTTTCCGTTATCTGGACCCATTTTTTCAAAAGGTTCTCATTAAATATGTATTTTACTTTAAGAACAATTTTTTATAGATTCCACGAGGACTGCCTCCCTGCTACGTGTTAGGGAAATATTGACACGTTTTGATCAATTTTGACATGTTTTTTCAAAATCATTTCCGGTGAGGTGAAAGAGCATTTGTGATCACCTAAAAGCTGTTTGATTGTCTTCTATGAGAGCAAAACAATTGAAAGTTATATTAGGACATCTTGACCGTTTTCAGCAATGATTCAGCATTGTCTTTCTCTTCAAACTTTTTGCCTTGCGAATTTAGCCAGACGAGACTATAAATGATGGCTTGAAGTTCCTCGCCATTGCTTGTTTTTTCACTCAAATGATGGGACCCTAGCCCAGTTCTCTATTCTGGGCAAGTCTAATGTATTTATCAAACCACAGAATGACGTTAACATGATAACAATGCTCATTTTCAATAACGTCCAGTCGAAAATGGGGCCACTATCGAATAAAAGCAGATTGAATTTAAGTCTCTAATTAGGGCAACTCAAACTCTTTGTTAAACCTGTTAAACGTGTGAATGACAGGTCAAATTTATTTGACACGTGGCAGGAAGGTTGACACTCCTTCCTGTGAAGTCGAGACCAGATTTGTTATGAGGGAAGAAGCAATATCTTTTTTTTTGGAAAAATGGGTCCGGATAACGGAAAAGTACCTTATTTTGTAGAGCTGGTTTCAACTTAGATTTGTGGTATCGAGCGAGTCATCGATCGCTGTTCATTGCTGTAGGAATACAGTAGGAACTTTGAGAGGGAATGAAGCCGTTGAGTCTTATTTCGCTTTAGAAAGCAAACCAAGCAACCTGAAATCTCTTACACTAGGTCAATTAAAGCCCCGGAAACTAACCATGAACTTTGACTTCACCGCAATGCTTCCTTCGTAAGTTATGCCATGTTTGCTGCAATGGCTGTTTTTGAAATATTCCCTCAAATTGTGATCACACCATGTGAAAAGCCTCACAAACTCGCAAAAGGTAAAGCAAGGATTGAGAGCGCGTGAAAACTCTGGCACACCACTTTCAAGATTAATCGGAAACTTCTTCTGAAACATGATTAACCCTTTCGGAACTGATTTTTTCCCCGTAGGGAAGAAATTTTCTTCTCATTGATTTACTTAGATACTAGATGGCAAACCCGGCTCCGCCCGGGACCAAACTTTACACACATACACTTCGGGGCAGGGAGCGTGTCATAGTCCACTTTTCGTTATCGATCGATATCGATTTTATCAATTTTTTGCAAAATTTGAGCTAGGGGGCTGGGATTTGGCACAGGGGGGTAATCGAGCATGCAGATTACGATCGAGCATGCTGATCACCCCCACGGGGGTGATCAGCATGCTCGATTACCCCCCTGTGCCAACTCCCAGCCCCGTAGCTCAAACTTTGCAAAAAATCGATA